GTTTTGTTTTTATTTTGTTTTTATTGTATTATTTTTTTGTTAAATTATAATTAACAATTTTTATTATATTATTTTTTTTTGTTAAATTTTAGTTTATAAATTAAAATTATTTGAATTATGGAATTTTAAATTGGAAGTAAAAAATTCTTAATCAATTTACTTATATTTTAGAAATTCACTACTCCCCTTTACATAACTCAAAATTAAAAAGATAAAAATATTTATATAAATTTAAAACTGATCCCACTAACTCATCTAAAACTGATCCACTAATTTTAAAATAATTAACTGCAGTTAAATGCATGCGTTTTTATTTAATTTTTTGGCAAAATATAATTTTGTAAAATTTATTTTTTTATAAACATTTATTTTTAAATGAAAAATCTTTTAAGATTAATTTTATTTTTAATAATAAATACTATTTTTATGGGGAATTATAGTGCATATGGTTGCATTAGTATTTAAAAAAAATAAATTATCAAAAAGCACAAATCTGTTATTTATTATTAAAAAACAACCTGTCATAATATTTTAAACATTTTAAAAAAACAATTTTATTTTCCTTTTCTTTGAAGAGATGATGATTTGAAACTAACCTTATTAATCTCAACAACATTATTTTTCCGTGAGCATGTTGATGTGTAATGACCCTAAAGGTCATTTTTGGAAATTTTTATAAAATGACCGTTTTACCCCTCCCGATAGTTGCCCCGAGTCCTAATTGTTGTTTTTTTGAAGTTGGATGAAAAGCTGAGTTTTTAAGAGTTAAAGTTTGGTTAAAAGTGCTATTTCGAGTCATTTGGAGTTTCGAGACTCGAATCGGATTTCCGCCGATTTCAGCAGTTTTAAAATGTCGAAACGGGTCTATGAGAATTTACGGAGTCGAATTTGGAGTTAAAACGAAGATTTGAGGTCCTAAGTTGCAAAAATTGTGAAATTTTGATCAAGAGTTGACTTTGGTCAACAAACAAGGTTCCGGTGCTCGAAATGGAATTCCGAGGGCACCGTTGGATTCAGGGGGTGATTCTAAGTCTAGAATGAGTCTTGGTTGAATTTTTAGAGTCCCCGAGTGCATTTCGACTTTTTGAGCCTAAAGTTAGTTTCTTGACGCCTTATCGGATACCGGGTCAAGGAGACCTCGAATTCAAATTCCGAAGATTTCATTGAGTCCGAAATGTCATTTTCAAGCTAGTAGCATATTTGGTTTGTGTTCGGGAAGTGCCAAATGAGTTTTGGGTGAGCTTTTAAGTTTCTTGGATACTTTGACACTATTTCAGCAAATTGTGGCAACTAAAGGGTTCATTATTAGTTTTAAAGGTCGAAAAATTATTCCGAAGGTTCTGAAATTTTGAGCATGAATTATAGGACTTATCTGCAAATTTTGGTGCATTTTCGCTAACCCGAGATCGGAATTTTATCGCAAATAAGAAATAATTGTTTACCGAGTAGAAATGATATTTGACTGGGCAACGAGCATGAAATTGAGCTCCGATTGAACGAGCAGGTCCGTATCATTATTTAAGACATTTACAAAAAAGAATCGGGTCATTTCACTATCGTATGAGGAAATTACGGTCTTTTTAGTGAAAGATTAACTGCTGTTTTTCTGGTGCATAACAGCCATGTATTGTTATAAAAATCTCAGACTGTGTTCATTTGGTATTTTGAGCATATCGGGAGTTCTAGAGATCGGAATGGAGTGATTCTTATGGGTTTCTTCTTGAATTAATATGAGGGTTAATATTCAATCTTCAATTCGACATTTTCTCATAATTTCTTTATCTGGGTTTTTTTTCCCTATCCATAAATCTCTTGGGAAAAATTGGGGTTTTATCGATTTGGACTCCCTTTTTGATGAAAAAGGTATATTTACGATCCTTATGTTATGGGTAAACTGATTTTTAACATAAAATTATTGATTCATCGATTATTTTCATCATATTAACCGCGTACAATTTGGACTTTCCCGGTAAAGTTAAAGTTTGATAAATTGAGAATTTCAAGGTCGATCTTAACTCCGTTTTTTATGAAATTTCATATTTGAACTTATCTAAGCATGGGTAAGATGTTTTTTAAGAGATATTTCATTTTCGAGTCGGGGTTTCGGATTCGAATATTTTAGACTTCTTCAAGAACGTGAATTTTCCTTCAAATTGAGTTTGTGAATTGATTTCAACTCCATTTTCAAATTGGTTTTCACCATTAGCTTCCAAATACTTTAAGGATCATTTTACATAAAAAATTTCTAGATTTGGGTATCGTTTTCTGGTATGAGACTTTTGGACCGTTTTGCCCTTTTTCTCTAAATTTCTTGATTTTGATGTCATTGGACTCGAATTGTGATTGTGAATAATTGTTTGAATAGATTATCGTGATCCGGATTATACTCGGAAAGGAAAGGGCTCAAGTTAAGTAACTTTTGGAGTTCGTTTTAAGGCAAGTGACTTCCAAACTTTGTAAAACTCTTAGACTACGCATGACTACTTTCCTAATTGTGTTGGGGAGTAATGGGGATTGAGGATGAGTTTTATTTGTTGATTGAAATTGTTGTAAATGAAAGATGGGGAATAAAACGAGCTAAATGTGTTATATGTGACTTGAATTTATTGAATAAGTCATGTGATAACTGATATTGAGGGGATAGAAGAGCATGAGTAGGCTATGATTGATACAGGCATTGATGTTGAGACAGATGATGTGTAATACTATGATGTGGTCGTGATATGGTTGTGATTGAGACAAGTGATGTGTAATACTATGATGTGGCAGTGATATGGTTGTGATTGAGACATGTGATGTGTAATACTATGATGTGGTCGTGATATAGTTGTGATTGAGACAGGTGATATGTAATAGTATAATGTGGTCGTGATATGGTTATGATTGAGACAGATGATGTGTAATACTATGATGTGATCGTGATATGATTGTGATTGATGACATGTGCATATTCATTATTCATCCCATGTGTGAACTATCTGTTGCATGAGTTCTGAGACACTGATATGAGGATGGATGGATATGAGACACGGTTGAGACTAGCTCCGGCTAGAGATATATGAGATGGACTAGCTCCGGCTAGCGATTTGGATGCCGATGGGATCTGGTTCCGGCGGTGATACATGGTCCATGTGTGGCCCCCATGGGTTCTGATTTGAGTATTCAGCGCGGACTGATTACGTCAACAAATGTGTATCGTAGGACAGACATGCATCACGACTACATGACATCATTATTGCATTTTGCATCGCATTTGCCTTATCTTTGTCTGTGATGTGTGGATTGTATCGGTTTACCCTTTTTATGTGAAATTTGATCTACTTGCTCTTATTTGTTGATCTGAGGTTGATGAGGATATACTGTTGGTTCTAACTGTTGAATATGATCTGTTTAGTATAGGTTGGTTGGTTTGCTGCTAGATTGAAGTTTCGGTGGTTCGGTTGGGATTGAAAGGAGTTGTTTGTAGCTGCTAGTTTTGCTTAGTTTAGAGTTACTTGCGACTATCTGTGGTTTTCGGTACTCACCCTTGCTTCTACACAATTGTGTAGGTTGACAGCTCTCTCTCATGGCTCCTGCTCCTCAACAACCAACTCCATCTGAAACAATAATCACCGATGCATCATCGGAAAACAATAACGTTACCATCACCAGAAAGATATACACAAGAGTTCGTCTCGCTACAAAATCTGATTTGTCTCATATATACCAATTGTTTTACCAAATTCATGTCTACCATAACTATACTCATTTATACAAAGCTACTGAGTCCTCCTTAGCCAATTTGCTTTTTAAAGAAAATCCTCTTCCACTTTTCTACGGGCCATCTGTACTTCTACTCGAAGTCTCTCCAACACCTTTTAACGAACCTAAAAATACCACAGACGAAGGGTTCAAGCCCGTCCTTACAACTTTCGACCTTAAAAATACCACAGACGAAGTTTATATGAAGTAGTTTACTGTATATCAATTTACGAAATAAGGGGAAACTTTAAAATGTTTCAAAACTACCTTAAAAAGAGTATATCTTTATGAACTTTTTTCGCGAAACAATTGAGATCCACCATAAGTAAAATGTTGATAGCATTATTAAATTTTACGTGTAATTATTCGTGGACTAACTAAAAATCAAAACGTGTCATATAAATTCAAACAGAAATAGTTAATTATTATTCCCTCCATTCACTTTTTTTGTGACTGTTTGACTTAACATACCCATTAAGAAAAAAAAATAAAATAATTATATATATATATATATATTACCAAACTATTCTTATTAAATGATACTTAGTATTGAGTCTTGAAATAATGATTTGAAAAATAGATATTTAATGGTGAGGGTAAAATATATAAAATTTTTTTATCTTTTCTTAATAAGTCAAAAGAAATAAATAAAAACAAAAATCTATTATAAAATAAAGGATAAGTGGAAAGTAGTATCAACAACATAAAATTGGTGGCCAAAGGCCAAACCAATTACATCAATGACTCGACCCTATAGAACGCACGTCAGAGTTGACCTCCACCAACCGTTTTTTATTGTTGAAAAATCCACTAATCTCACTAGCAAATAAATGAATTTTAAAAAGAGACAACTTAATTCTCCACTATAAATAACCATTATGATACTAAAGTATTTCCACACAATATCCCATTACTAGTCCTTTCAACATTTCCTTTATCTCCAAATTTAACTAAATACTTTCCCATGGCTCCTGCTACTCAACAACCAACTCCATCTCCATCTGAAATAATAACCACCGATGCATCATCGGAAAACAACAACGTTACCATCACTGGAAAGATATACACACGAGTTCGTCTTGCTACGAAATCTGATCTATCTCATATATACCAATTGTTTTACCAAATCCATGAATACCATAATTACACTCATTTATACAAAGCTACTGAGTCCTCCTTAGAGGGCTTGCTTTTTAAAGAAAATCCTCTTCCACTTTTCTACGGGCCATCCGTACTTCTACTTGAAGTCTCTCCAACACCTTTTAACGAACCCACAAATGAAGGGTTCAAGCCTGTCCTTACAACGTTCGACCTTAAATTCCCTGTCGTTGAAGGACAAGTTGAGGAGTTCCGATCAAAATATGATGATAAGAGTGATGCTTACATTGCAGGATATGCTTTCTTTTACGCTAATTATTCATGTTTCAATGACAAGCCTGGATTTTATTTTGAGAGTCTTTACTTCAGAGAGAGTTATAGAAAGTTGGGAATGGGGAAATTGTTGTTTGGAACAGTTTCGTCCATTGCTGCCAACAATGGGTTCGTATCGGTGGATGGAATAATCGCAGTTTGGAATAAGAAGTCATATGATTTTTACATAAATATGGGAGTTGAAGTTTTTGATGAGTTTAGGTATGGAAAATTGCATGGAGAAAATCTTCAAAAGTATGCTGATAACAAGGACAAAAATGACCAAGGAAGCTGTTAGCTATTGTGTGCTTTCTTTTAAATGTTGAAAGTTCAATTCATACATTTCTATTTGTAATTTTGTAAAAGCAGAATGCTCATTACATTTGTATTTTTAAATTTTAATTGGTAATTATCACATTAAACCCCTCTATTCAATTTACATGATCTTCTTCTTCTTTAAGTTATTACTCCCTCTGTCCCAATTTGTGTGACACATTTCGCTTTTCGAGAGTCAAACAGTTTAAGTTTGACTGAGAATTTGCTCATGAAATCTTCAAATTTTTTAAAATGAAATTTATATATTTATAAACTACATAAAAAGTACTATAAGTCACAATAATTGATAATTCAATATATTTTAAAAGATATAGGAAAAATTTACGATCAAAGATAGACTTGTTTGAATCTTGAAATTCAAAATATGTCACATAAATTGAGACAGAGGGAGTATAAAAAGAATCACATCTTTCTATATTTAGAGGTAAGTTCAAAGTATATATAGAGGGGCATAACCTTAATTACCGCTCATAGTAATTTATCTCTCTTATCCCACAAGAAGTCAATATATATATATATATAAAAGAAAATTCTAGACTCGCGTATGTAGCGCCATTACAAACCAAAATTCTCTTTTAATTTATTTTATTTCCAAAACTAGCCTTCCTCGTTTATGAAAAATTGTGACTTTTATGAAAAATTGCGACTTTTATGAAGAATTGTGACTTTTATGAAAAGTTGTGACTTTTATGAAAAGTTGTGACTTTTATGAAAGGTTGTGATCTTTCCTAAGGGTTGTGACCTTTCTGAAGGGTTGTGACCTTTACGAAGGGTTGTAACCTATCGAATAAGACACAATAAACATTTGTTCACACTACCTTTTGTTGTCTATAAATAGAGGAATTTTCTCTCATTTTAAAACAACAAAAAAATTGAACTTATTCTTCTTCTTATGGACAATTAAATATTTGTGTACTTTGCTTATGTTGAATGACTCACTGACACCATTGTTTTTGTATCAATACACTGGTGAATAAAATCGTTCTATCCTGAGAGGACCTATTCCTTTAAACATCAGGTACTAGATGGGAATAATTTTCTTAAGAGGACACTGTGCATTCAGTGGACTCAATTTTTTCCATTCTGTTTCATTCTATTGTTACAGATCCTAGTATGCATCTTACCGTCATTAATTTATGCTTATATTATTAATTGTTATTTTTGAGTACGTGCTTTAAACTTTGTTGTTTATGTTTCTGCAAAATTATTTTTATAAGTATTTGTTAGTACTGATTAAATAACAAATGTTAATTGAGTATTCAAATAAGTTTTCTCTATTAGAATTGTTGAAGGTACAATAAAAAAAAGGCCTTACAAATCTCTAATTTCTTCATCAACAACGTCATTCCTTACAAGGATGAGATTTTGTGTTCTATTTTTACTAAATTTTATTAGTGGAAATTATGACTACTTTAAGGATTGAAAGTTAATTGAAGTGTTATTCAATTTTTTGAGGTATGTTATTTCAAAACATAGGAACTTTTTTGGTTAGAATGTTTTGTTATCATCATTGGATAGCTCATAGTTTACTCCCTTTAATGTATGTTTTTTCTCGCCGTTTTGTTGTCTTCTTAAAATTGTATTGATTATTTTTTATTTGGTATGTATATGATCTCACTTGGACAAAGCTTTCGTCCTTTTAATGTTTTTCTTTTTTTCCTTCTCATTCGGCTCTTCTAAATATTTTTGGTGTGAGTTATGACTATTTTCGGCAAGCTTAATTTGAAGAATATGAAACAAAACCTGCTTTAAATAAAAGTAATATCTTAAGCTACAAAAGAAATGTCTATTAAGATAGATTTGTTGTCCATGTCCCAAGTCATTGCTGAGCATTTGAGTTATTTAGGTGAGACTCATTTTTAATTTTTTAATGTTCGAGAATATTTCTTTAACATGAGTCTAGAAACCAACATTTTGATCTACTTTTACTTTCATAATGCAAAAAATTATACATACATATTTCTGAAAAAGTTGCAAAGTTGCATTGATGAAGCATCAAGAAGGGCCTTCAGAGTAGCAATTTAATGAAAAATGAATTTCTAAAAGGGTCAACAATATTATTTTGTTGTCGTTTCAAATTAAATTTTGTTAGAGTAACAAAGTAACAATAACGAAAAGTGGTGAACATTTGACCTCAGACAAGATTGTCTCTAAATTTTTTTTAATTATGTTGTTGTGGTGTACATTTAACGGTCTTAACTTATTTATAACTAATATTGATTACCGAAAATTTTCACATAATTTTCTAACCATAAAATTATCATATTCTATATTTTTCATGTAAAAAAATAGAAAAATTGATGTTTAATCGCTACATAGAAACATCACTCAGTTTATCAAGACAATTATATCATCAAACATATATTATGATAAATTATGTAAAAAATAAAAATGATTAGATATCAAGATATTTTTAATTATTCATTATATATTTATAATTCTTGAGATATGTGATAATGTCAAATCATTTAATTTCTGTTGAAATGATCTTAAAACCTACTAAAATTTGCTTATTTTTTTCTTATAACAATCGATTATTGAAAAGGTTGTTCAAAAGCTTAGAAAGATGATTAATGCCCAGGAAGCGTGAATTTATTACCTAGTGTTACAATCAACTCTCAATCAGTGTCCAATAAAAATGAGACAAACGATGCAAATAGTGAAACTAAGTAATTAATCAACTAAACGACTAGATAAATTTTTTGGAAATATGTAATTGCGTTCCTATTTAACTTAACTAACTTCCGTCTTCCTTTTGCATTTTGTATTAACATATTATTTTGTGAAAAAATATTAAAGTATTTCATATGTGATTTATGATATGGCGTGTCTTCGTGTCATTTCATTAACCATCAATGTGAGACTTTTATCATTCTTTAACACCTCACATCACGCCTAGTGCTTAGCATGTGAACACTATAATGGGGGAACAACATCGGTGAACAACAAATATTGGGATAAACTTGACTCTAATACCATGTTAAATTATATTTTATGTCTAACTTACACCCCAAAAACTAGCTCATGAGGGGAGGGAAGGTTTGTCCAAATACATATAAAGAGAGTAGGAGTGTCAAAAATGAACTCAAACATAGGTAAACCGTCCAACTCGCCCAGAATTTTAAGGGTTGGGCTCAAGATAATTTGAATTGGGTTCAATCTCAACCCATTCAGGCGTAACCCATTTTAAGAGAATCCTTAATTGAGTCCAATTCAATCTCCAATTTCAATCCGTTTTAAAACTCTTTATTAATATATGCTCCTATATTAAATGTATGAATTATTATCTATCTAATATCTTTTAGGATTTATCTATCTATTTGTTACTTTTAAAAAAATAAAATAATAATCTTGAGTTGAAATTCAAATTGTGATTATAAAAGTTAAATATCACTATGTTAAAATTATAGAGATTAAGCAGGTCAAATTAGGCGGGTCAAGACCCAACCCATATTTAGCCCTTTTGAGCCCAACCCATTTGAATTCAAAGTAAACTTGGGCGGGTCAAGACCCAACCCGATTTCCATTTCAGCCCAACCCGCCATTTGACACCTCTAAAAGAGACCAATTAATCTCTTATTCCTCTGCAGATGTGGGACTTCTTAACAATATGATGTACTAATTTATATATTAGGGGCTTATACATATGCTCGAGTAGGGGTGTACATGACCGGGTTGGTTCAGGTTTTTCAATTATCAAACCAAACCATTTATGTCGGATTTTTAAATCTATAAATCAAACCAAACCAATAAAACTCGGGTTTTTCAACCTCGGGTTTTTTGAATTTTCGGGTTTTTCCGGTAAAGTATTCATACAAACATATAATTAATTTACTTGTACTTCAAATATTTCTTTAGTCCTACCAAAATACAACTATCTAAGATGTTTCTTAAGAAAATAACACAAAATATGATATGAGTAATGACACTAAAATATCCAACAAAATAACAATAATAATGAAATCGCGTAAAACAAATATTGCAAATTAACAAGTCATAATGAAAATGATCATAATTTAAAAGTACTAAATCATGCTAAATAAGTTTAATAAGTATTAGTTACATGACTAAATATTAAAGGAAATTAAAATTAGATTATGCATTAATTGAATTGTCTAAACCAATGTAAAACCAAAGAACAAATATTCAATATTATTGTCATTCTTAGTGTTGAATTGATTTTCTTTTTGCATTAGTATTAATTTGATTTTGATTTAAGCTTTATTATAATTATCAACATCTGTGGACTATAATCTTTATTGAACCATTCAGAATTCTAAGTTTCAAACTTGAAATAATATATTAAAAGAAAAAAACTATGAAAAAGTATAAGAAATATTTAAAAATTATATCAAAGTAAATATTTTTATATATAAAATAAAATTTTAAAATTATATATATAATGTCGGGTTGGTTTGGTCTCGGGTTGGTTTTTTCAGCTAAAACCAACCCAACCCAAATATAGTCAAGTTTTTTTTTTCAATACCAAACCAAGTCAAACCAACCACTAGTTGGGTTTTTTTTTCTCGATTTGCGGTTTGATTTGATTTTCGATTTTATTTTGTACACCCCTATGCTCGAGTATACTTAAACACATTATATAGGCTATCATGGATTTGTGGGTGA